TGTGTCCCAAGTTGACGATGTGCCCCAAATCAACGATCGGCCTAAATTCTCGGCCCCCCTTATTGTAAAATTTGTAAAATATATTACGATATGTATCAAGTAAGACCCGTTGCGGTGCTAAAAACGATATATTTGCGATAAAGAAAGATTTTAATAAAAAGCTACTATTGTTTTATTGAAGAGAAATTATGCAAAGAGTGCTTAATAATACAATATGTTAAGCACATATTGCAATTATTGCATGAGTAACCAAATCAACTATCAAATCAAATTTGTGAAACAATAAATTTCAATGGTGCATGTGAAACAACGCCAATAAAGTATGATGTGTCGCATGTCCATACATTTTTGTAAAAAATCTTCACACTACATTAAAAAATATCATGGGAACTTTTTATTTCGATCCCTGAAAGTTACAAATAAACAATCATTCAAATTTAGAAATTCTCATGCATGTTGGCGCTTCAAAGAATATATGACGTTATTAGAACAATACAAACACATGTAAAATGTTAAATGGTTTTATTTTTTTCCCAGAATATTTAGAAGGAATCATTAAATATGACATTATAATAGAACTTTGTAATTATATTGTCGTATGAACCCTAATATTGAGATTAACTATATTCGACTAAAAATCTTGAATAAATGAGAACAAAGAAAAAAAATATTCAAAAAAAAATATTCGTTATTGAAGCGTAATATTAAGTACTAACACATGTTTTCCTATCAGATGTATAAATATGTCTAGTTCTAACCTAAAATGATAAATTGATCAATAAAATTTGTGTTCATCCATTGAATGAATTTTTTACCAAAAATGAAGAATTGATTATAGAAATTTGTGACCATCCAATACACGAATCATTTTCAGCGGAAATGAAAACAAAATTTAATTAAATAAGATATTTTGTTAAAAAAACTTATTTGAAACATTACCAATAGCATTTGAAATTCATAATATAATTGTGGACGCAATTTGCGATTATTCCTGAAACTGGTTTAAGTTTCATTAAAAATTATCTTTAATTTAGAACTTTATTGTTTTTTATAAATAAATCTAAATACTCGTACATAAGTGCATCAAAATAAAACACATGCATGAATAAATTTACAATTTTAATCACATTATTGACTAATTATCATTTACTCATTGTAATATAGAACATTTCCAAAAAACAGAAATATTATTATATTACTTAACCCGTTTCCAATCATATTCACTACAATATGAGTTGTCTTCTTAGTACGGCGTTCAGACTACAGGAACGATTTATTATAATTATTTAATCCGTATTAATTCATTCGTGTGAATACTGTTCATTTAGTGGATGATCAAATATTGCTAATTAGAGAATATTCTTGCAAACTTTAGCTAGGATCAGTTGCATTCATTACAATATGAACAGCATTTCTTCGAAATTGTTTAACCGTACGTACGTATCATCGTCGGTGTAAATGATGTTGTTTCCTATTACTAAATTTAAACTTTAATACGCCATTTTTTTATTTTGATGATTGGTTTGGTTCCATTATTAACAATAATAAATAAAGGTTCTTTTTAAAATAAGGCATTAATTTGTTGGCTTCTCAACATAAATATTTTCTCATAAAGTTATAAAATGGGCTCCAGAACACCAGCTAAAAAATTTTCCTTACATCTTATTGTGCATAAAAGCACTTAATGTTTACCTATAATATCCACTTTCATTAGTTAAATACTCGACATAATGGACAATCCGGTCCATTAATAAAATTTTTAAAAAATTCGTTATCTTATATATAATAATCCGTTTCAATATGATCCATATATCGAGGATCCCGGTATATCATACGTCTATTATTATGTGACACTAATTTTTTTCTCTATAATAAATTTCATGTCACGTCAAATTCTTATTAAAAAATCTTACTATTTGCGTGCTACGCTTATATAAACGAGTTCGGACTTCCTTTGAATTTAATGCAGTAATTAAGATATTTTTAAGAAAATTCATTTTCGTGGCACCTCGCATTTTAATTTATATTTATCGTTTTAACAATCGGTTTAAAATTTGTTTAAAAATTAAGATTTATAATAATAATATAACTTTAAAGAAATATAATATCGTATCTATATGTAATTTTCTAAGATATTTAATTAAACAATTAAATAAAGTTGTGTATTCTAGTAAGTAAAACTTGTTACGCTCGAATTATGATCGGCTCTTGTCCTTAAATAATTATCGAAGTCTGATAAATGAAGTTTATGGTATACAGTCAGACTTCTATAATTGCACTCTCCATAATCACCCTCTGGTTCGGTCACAAGCTTATATAATCTCTAATTATTTTACCTCAATAATTGCACACCCTCTTTAAATGCACTATTTTGAAAATTATGCATATGGTCTCAAGGGGTGTGCAATTATGGAGGTCTGACTGTATATGGTACCAACAATAAACATGTTAATAATGTTTCTGTGGGCTTAAGTTACACAGATGATGATTTTAAAATCAAGGTTGGTAAAAGTATCGAATTTTGGATTGGGATTTGGATTTGCCGATCATATAGTCATTTCGGATTGGATTGAGATCTACATAATTTATAATTTTGATAGTACCATAATAGTAGTGTGATCAAATGGATCGGGTTATTTACTAATATGATCAGTTGGCGTGTCATTTGATGATTATATAATAACTCCTTATTTTTATTACCTAAAGCAAACATTTTTATAGATAAACGAATTTTTATTTTATTTTTATTTATACGTAAAGTAGAACTCATGCCCAATATATTTAGTAGGAAATAAATGAACTTTCCGTTTACAATATAATCACGTGTGAAATTATAATCATGAGTGACATTTAGTGCGACATAATAATGATCGACTTAATCCAATCCCCAATTCGGATTTTTAATTTTAAATGAATACGTATTTGACTCGATCCAATTTGAATCCAAATCAGGATTTAGATTTATAAGTACAGTTTAGACTTAGCCTAATTCAAATGAAATCCAGTCCAAATCAGGTTATCAATTTTCTAATCCAATTCAAATCAGGTTATTAACTTATAAATATGGATTTCAAATCTAAATAAATCAGATTTAAAATTTTGTAAATATGGATTGGACTCATCCCATCCAAATCAAATCAGGTTTTTAACCAGATTAGACTTAATCCATTTCGAATCCAAATCAGGTTTATAATTTATAATTTGTGGATTGTACTCAATCTAATCCAAATTTTATATTAGGATCTTTGATGGATTGGACTCAACCCCATCCAAATCTGAATCTAAATCAGGTTTATAGTTTATAATTATGGATTGTACACAATCCAATCTAAATTTTATAATGGATTTTTGATTTATAAATATGGATTGGACTCAACCACATCCAAATCAAAACAGGTTTTTAAAATTAGTCTTAATCCAATCTGAATCTAAATCAGGTTTAAAATTCAATCTAATCCAAATTTTATATTAGGATTTTTGATGGATTGTACTCAACCACATTCAAATCAAATCAAGTTTTTTAAAATTAGACTTAATCCAATCTGAATCTAAATCAGGTTTATAATTTATAATTATGGATTGTACTCAATCTAATTCAAATTTTAAATCAGGATTTTTGATGGATTGGACTCAACTCCATCCAAATCAAATCAAGTTTTTAAAATTAGACTTAGTCTAAATCAGGTTTATAATTTATAATTATGGATTGTACTCAATCCAATCCAAATTTTATATCAGGCTTTTTAATGGATTGGACACAACCCATCCAAATCAAATCAGGTTTTTAAAATTAGACTTAGTACAATCTGAATCTAAACCATGTTTATAATTTATAATTATGCAATCCAATCCAAATTAATTTATAATTATGGATTGTACTCAATCTAATCCAAATTAATTTATAATTATGGATTGTACTCAATCCAATCCAAATAATTTTATAATTATGGATTGTACTCAATCCAATCCAAATAATTTTATAATTATGGATTGTACTCAATCCAATCCAAATAATTTTATAATTATGGATTGTACTCAATCCAATCCAAATTAATTTATAATTATGGATTGTACTCAATCCAATCCAAATAATTTTATAATTATGGATTGTACTCAATCCAATCCAAATAATTTTATAATTATGGATTGTACTCAATCCAATCCAAATAATTTTATAATTATGGATTGTACTCAATCCAATCCAAATTTTATATCAGGATTTTTGATGGATTGGACTCAACCCCATCAGGTTTTTAAGATTAGACTTAATTACAAATTATAAACCTGATTTAGATTCGGATTGAATTATGGATTGGACTCAATTCAATCCAAATAACGGATTGGACTCTATCTAATCCAAATGAAATCTAAGACAGATTGGATTCCAAATGATGAACCAAAATTTTTGAAACTATTTCAATTATTATAGGTTGACAATAGTAACTTATTTCGTTCCACTTGTTGCGCCAATAAAAAAAAATAATAATAAAAAAATCATTTTTACAATTATATGTTAAATATGAATCCATTTTTAGTGTGTCGAACAAAAAAAAAATTAGCATTCCTGATTTGTCGATCAGTTTATTCGCGGAAGAGATCGGCATTTAGGGAATGCGGCGGCATCATTGATTTTTTCAATACTAACTTAATTTAGGGGCCAGAAATGACGCCATTTTATTTCAGAGTTCTCCTATTTATATAGGCTAACTCCCATGATTAGAAAAAAAAAGTAAAAATTAGGAAGACACAGTAAATCTATCACCGAAATTATGGTCTCTGCCAAATAATGTATTATTGGCTGATGATGACCAAAATAGGAACGTGATTTGCGGATCTTCTGGGCGGTTCTAGAATCTAGTCTAGTCTAAATCCGTAAAAATTTACAAAATATCTAGAACTTTCTCGATTAAAGAAATTACTAGAAAAACTTACTGTAAATTGTCTAGAACTTTCTTTATTAAAACTATAAATATGATAAAAAATTTTTTTCTTAGTTTTAACTTGAATACATAAGAAAAAAAAAATTTTTTTTTTTATTCACCTTTTATTTTGTTTAGCATCAGATACTTTTCTTTTCTTTTGATAAAAGATGTTTATTTACCCAAGTTTCATGTACGAGCCAAGAACTCCGCCATCATTTTACCCTCATACAAGGAATTATCCATGTTCTTATCATCATAATAATTATAGTAATCAACCTGAACCTTTTTATTATTCTACTCCGCGAAATTACTTTCCATTTGATGAAGATCAAAGAGAACAATTATTAAGGGAACAATTTTTACGCAAACAACAAGAACATGAAAGAGAACAAGAATTAGAACGATTGAAAAGTTTTTATGATCATAAAGCAAGGCAACAGAAACAACCGGAAGTATCAACGTATAACACCAATTATCAACCAAAAAAATCGTTTAAAGTAAAAATTCAGAGTGATGAGGACGAAGCAAAAGCCAAAATCAATAAATCTCAAGCGGCTCATAAAATATATAATTTTATTAAGAATCAATCGGCAAATAAACAAACTCGTAAAATATTAAATAAATTACATATACTTCATAGAATTGAGAATGAATTAAAGAAAATTCAAAAAACGAAGCATTTAGGAAATTTAACATTTGATACTAAAGAAAATGGGAAACAAATTTTACCAATTTCAATCGACAATAAAAAATTCCTAGAATATGAAGATAAAATTGTTAAATCATTTGATAAATTGGATGAAATACAAAGCGAGGGTGTTGATATTATTCGTGATAGAAGGAAATTCCTTGTAAATTTTGCTCAAACGTTACTAAATGAATTGGACATTGAAAAAGAAAATCAATGGAAAGTATTTTCCATGCCCCTTGAAAATGAGGGAAATAAAAATAATGTTTAACAAAAAAATTAGAATCAGAAAAAATAGAAAATCCAAATGAAAATGTTTGATACCTTTATGAATCTTTGATTAAGACGGGCGAATAATATGATAATTTTTTTTATTATGTATATTTTTTAATTATATATATTTTTGTAAATTTTTTTTTCATATTTCTTCTTAATAAAAATGTAAATTTTGCTTAATATAAAGCGAATTTTTATTTTCAATTACTTCGCTTTATATCTATACGTTTTGAAAATGTTTAATGACTATTCTTTAATATAATAAAGTTTTCGTATAAACCTTAATGAGAAAATGATTTATTATTCCAGATATTTCTCTAATTTTACATGCAATACTTTCTGCTGGCTGTTGTAAGCCAATTAGAATCATTTGCAACTTTATCCCGTGAAAAAAATATTAAATTTATCGAGTTTTATTTCCTAATGCTTAATTTTTTTTTCGATACAGAAAATTTTGCGCTTTATTAGAAGAACAACGAGTTCAATATTGAAATTATCTGACGATTATTAAAATTTTAGGCGATTTTATAGATATTTTTTTTTTACGCAAGAACGAATTAATAATTGAGTGTCCTCAAGTACTTAAAGCAAAAATTTCTTTTTCTTTTTTAAAAAGATTATTATTCTCCTTTTGTTATTAAGCTGCTTAATAAAAATAATTGAAATTTTTTTAAGAATTATCATAAAAGTTCCCTCAAAACTAAAATAATTATCCGCAGTACTACGTAGCAATTGTATGACAATATCATGTAGTCAATATTAACTTCCTTAATTACATTATAAATACATTTTTTATTAAAATTTATTTGTTTATTTATTAAAGTGGCATATGCAAATATACAAATAAATAAATGGCATCAAAAAGTTGTAGCGTAAAATTAAAAAATTTTTTTGTTCCGCAGAAGCACATCACGTGGTTTTTAATCTTCTACTCAAAGATATTTAATCCATATATCTTTTCCTCTATCAATAAATACAAAAAAAAACTCTTTCCGATAACTCAAAATTTTCATAATTTGGCGCAGTAAAGTTTTATAACTTCACAACATTTATTTTTTTCTTTTCCGCTTAAAACCTCACACAAGTGCGGATACGTCTTTTGACGACATCATTCCATATCTTACAGTATATACATATGGTAAAGGTTTCGACCTTTAAAAGAAATATACGACCTTTTTCGAAGGGTGAAGTTTTTTTTTACACACTTTATAGTTTCAATAAATACACAAGTCACTTATTACAAAGAGTTTATTACTTTACGATATCTTATATTTTAAATTTTTCAAAATTTTATTATTTTGTGTTTTACATTATTATTACTATTAGATAATATTATTTTTACACTCTTTTATTATGTCTTTATCAAAACCTTTTCATTTTCCGGTGGGAAAAAATTCTTTCTTGGTCTCTATGAAAAANTAAGCACATCACGTGGTTTTTAATCTTCTACTCAAAGATATTTAATCCATATATCTTTTCCTCTATCAATAAATACAAAAAAAAACTCTTTCCGATAACTCAAAATTTTCATAATTTGGCGCAGTAAAGTTTTATAACTTCACAACATTTATTTTTTTCTTTTCCGCTTAAAACCTCACACAAGTGCGGATACGTCTTTTGACGACATCATTCCATATCTTACAGTATATACATATGGTAAAGGTTTCGACCTTTAAAAGAAATATACGACCTTTTTCGAAGGGTGAAGTTTTTTTTTACACACTTTATAGTTTCAATAAATACACAAGTCACTTATTACAAAGAGTTTATTACTTTACGATATCTTATATTTTAAATTTTTCAAAATTTTATTATTTTGTGTTTTACATTATTATTACTATTAGATAATATTATTTTTACACTCTTTTATTATGTCTTTATCAAAACCTTTTCATTTTCCGGTGGGAAAAAATTCTTTCTTGGTCTCTATGAAAAATTTTCACGTGACAAAACCCAAAAGATCTGGTTATAACAAGATTTATGATAGCCACCGCTCAAAAAGTTTCTTTTTTGAGCTTGCTGATCCTAACAAAAACACCAATGAAATTCATCTGAAGATCCACACTAACGATTATACAATGGATACTACCCCAATTAGGTTTCATTCCACAAGTATACTCCCTAATCACAAATACCAAATTAGTAAAATGCTCACACACTTTTTTTCTTTACAAGAAGTTCTGCCTCGTAGAATACAAACAAAATTTTTTGATTTTATTCGTTCAAAATTATTGGATAGAATTAATATAATACGATCACGTGGTTTTAGCACTAGCGATCGTAATAGATCTACAAAAACTTTTTTCAATTTTTCTTACAAAAAATATCGCTTTCATTTCGGTATTTATATTCCTTGTATACCTGATTGTACATCTGACTCTTTATCAGATAAACCTGCTTTTCTTACACAAACTCCAAAAACTCTTCATTTGTGTCAAATTCCATCCCCTTTCATTATGTCGCATCATCGACGTGCTTGCGTGATGCATCAGAAGAAATTTTTTAGCACAGAAGTGAATCATTTCTTGCGTCCTACTCAGAATTTAAGGAATGAAATGAATAACAACAAAAGTACACATGCTTCGAATGTGTTCAACAAATGGCTTTCGCACACAAAAAAAGAAATCTATTCAAATCGGTTAGGAATTAAATATACCACCAGTTATTACGCTAACGGTCATCAAAATATTTTTAAGAAAAACAACAAATATCGCTATATGTACAAAAAGCGTTATAATAATTTTAGTCACAATTATAGTATCAATAATTCAACGAAAAAGAAACAAGAGGCTCGCTTTAAGCGGAATTGTACTCGTATCTACAACAAGAATAACAAATTACGAATACTAAATGATCGACAAAAACTTAGGTCGGCTGTTCGCCACAGATTTCTCACTTCAATATCGCAATATATAGATAAACCGGTCACCCATCTTCGATATTCAAACAAGAGAAGAAGTATCAAAAAATCAGATTATAATTTTAATGTTCCATTTTTTTCTTTTAAAAAGAAAGTACCCCCTATTAGGAGAACAAATCATGTTATCTATGATTTTACTTCTAGTTATAATTATGTACCTCGATCTCAGAAATCTTCTAGCCTCTATATTGATGATGTAGCTTCAACGACTACTTTCTGTAAAGATATCATTTATCCTCTTCCTCCTGATATGGATCCTGTTCCTGATAATATTGATATTCCAAACGAACTTCGCCCATATATACCTGATGGACCAATATATATGTTGGATCCTTCATCAAACAAAAAGAATAAGAAAAAAGTTAAACCCCCAACATACACTTATTGCATCCCTGGATCACGTTTGTGGTTTGATTACTTACGAAAGAACATTAAAAACGGTATTTTACCCTTTCGAGACTTTAGGGTTAACACCTCTAGTCCTATTTCCACCCACCCTATTTCAGATAGTTCGTCACTTAGTGATTCTATTTCACGCAACAACAATAATTTACAACAACACAATGACCTTTTAAATTTACAACAACACATTATTGAAAACAATAAACGTCAATGGAACGTCATCAATACACAACTTGATAATGTTATCATTCAAGATTCTCAAAACACTTCTAATCAACATTCAGTTCACAAAAAACCTAAACGAACTTATTCCAGTTACCTTGCTGACTCCCTGGATGAAGGTTTTACCTCTGCTCGATATTAATTTTTGTAATGAGCCAGGATTATCTACAGAACAACTCAAAATTAGTGTGAACCATTCCACCTCTAACAGTATTTACAGGTGGTGGCTTTTTTAGCCAAAAGAAAAATACGGATCATGAGAACACAACCTTATTTACTAAATATCAATGCGAATCCTCAATGATCGTTCGCACGTAGTTGCTTTTAATAGTCTATACTACTCTAGAACTATTGATTTTCTATATATATAATTTTTTTTTTATTTTTAGGTTCTCTCGTTAC